TTGAATACGCGACCCCTTTACAAGTTAAAAAATTCTGGCGACCCCCCTAGGGCCATATTAAAACTATATCAGTGATTTTAAAAACTATGTATTTAATTTTCTTTCTGTTGAGACAGATTATTGTTGATTAAAATGAAAATTACAGAAGAATCGACAATAATTTAACACACATAAAGTATGAAACTTCCTTTAATAATAGCATTAGGCACAGGGAACTGTTTTTTTTTTTAGGATCTGAATTTTCAGCTTCTACTTTTTATCTCCTTTTGCAAATCAGCTCAACACTTTTTCCGCTATCATTTTCGTAATTCTCGCTGAAATTGCAGTTTTTTTTTTAATATAGTGTAGGACCTACACACGCTTGTGTTTTTCTTCTACCCGCGACCCCCGTGTAAGACTTCGCGACCTCCCTGGGGGTCGCGACCCATAGGTTGAAAAACACTGTCCTAATAGAATAACGAACCATTCTAAGGCTGTTATCTGTCATGATGACTGCAATTACTTGTGAAAACTTGCCTTCTTATATCATCTATAAAACCAAAGGACTCTTTCAATAGTGGTTCCGAGGGAGCAATTTACAATCGGACTCCATCTGGATGGTTAGATAAAATATCCTTTGAAGATTATTTTATAAAATTTATAGTGCTTACAGTAAGACAAAAGTAGGCAGATTTTGTTGTTATATGTGAGAATTTTTTCCTCGTATTACAAACTCACGACTGAAATATTTCCTACAACAGCAATACCATTTCTAGGAATGATTATAATGTTATTTACTTGAGGTTTTTCAAAGAATGTGTCCGAAGCTTTTATTCAGCAATTGACCAATTCACAAAACGAATTGGAACCAGTTAATAGTTTTCAAGACAAAATTCCCACTTTATCCAATCAAAATACTGTACATAAGTGATTCCTCATTGTAGTAAATTTCCTACTGAAAAATCCTCCATTTTCACTATTCTGAAGCTATCGAACTATACATATATTTGTTATTTTCACATATAATATTAGGTCTAATCATCTTGTAGAAGTGAATTAACTTACTTTCACGTGATTCACTCGATTGACAATTCCAAATTTGCATAGTTAAATGGTCTAATCTTCTTTCTCTCTTTTTTTTTTTAAATTATAATTTGTGAATAATTCACTTTATTGATTCAAAGATAAACTTAATTATATGTGGAGAAATTTTCTTAATTTAAATGAAATCAAACATAACTGGAGTGTTTAATATTACGCTGTAATATGCAAATAAGTTTTAGATGAGTACATTTCGTGGACAATGGATCATTCGATCGATTTTTTGGTGTTTTTTCAACCTCTGCAATTGTTATTTTTCGTATTCTGCACGAATTTGGTGTATTGTATTTCGTACATTTTAGCAAAAAAAAAGTATATTATAAAGTACTTAAATTTTGAATGAAAATACAAAGTGTGGGCGTAACAAAACGAATTGTGTTATGTTGGTATACGGACGAATAAGTGGAAAATGCATTCATTCAACGTGGAACGTCAAGAAAACTAAATTTCTACTTTTCTGAATCGGAAGCGAGAAGACATTTTTAATGTAAAATAAGTTTTATGATCACTTAAACTGGTTGTTTAATAATGGAAGCCAATGAAACGACTTTTAACGAAAGTAAGTTATATGGGCATTCTTTTAAAATTTTAATCAAGTGTTAATGGTAAGATTCAAGCTCCGAATGAGGGGTTTTTCGAACTCCATTGTAAGAGCAGAAACCTCGCGAAGGGTCGCTTGTAGAGGTATGGTTCCTTTGACTATTTTGTTCTTAAAGGTATGCTTTACCGCTCCGATAAGGTCCCAAACGTCTTATTCAGAGCTTGAATTGAGCATTTAACGTCTTTACGAAACTTTTATCATGATTTTTCATTTATTACTACTCGATTCCAGGACCATCGAGAGCTTGTAAGGGACCTGGAAGTAGAGGGGGCCATTTTTTTTCTTTGAGACATACGTAGAATGCTTGTTTGTTAATTAAAAGCAGTTTAAAATATTTCACTTTTTGTTTCTAAAAAGAATAATAACTTTTATACAGGTATGAACCAGTAAGTGTCCGGGAAAATTCCCCATCTCCTTGTAAGGTTAAATCTTTATCATCAGCTCCAATTTCTCCCTTTTTGGTGATGATTTAGGGAAAGATCCGGATTTGGTTCAATTCCAAGGCCTCGAGAGAAGGTGAGCACGATAAAAATTTAGGGGGTTCCCCGTAGTAATTCCTATTCGTATAAATTAAATGCTGTTTTTATTAATAAAGAAACATTCTACGTACAGTACAGTACATTTATTTGAAGCAGCAGTGGAAAAGAGTCCACGCTTTACTTCCGGGCCCCATACAAGCTCTGTAAATTCCCGTAGAAAACGCTATAACATAATATAAAACATTTTTCTTGCATTCCAATTATCTACTTGAGTTATTTTGTGTGTTTCTACACGTTTAACTTCAAAATTCGCGCCCACAGCTTCAAATAACAGCCACGTAATTACGTCAAATTTATATTAAATTTTAATAAATTTAAAAAGAAACAAATTAACAATTTAAAAAACAATTTATTTTCATCACTTGACATACAGAATTCGTTTAAAATAATTTAAAAAAAAAGTTTCTCAACCCAAGCGAGGACGGGAAAAAAACAGTAACAAATATGGCACCTCTAACACTGAACTAAACCAAATAAATCGGAGAATAAAAGTTATAAAAATATGTTTAAAAAATACACAATAGATTTATCTTATATATATATACATTAGCCATTAGAAAAAAAAAATAATATATTTTAACATAGTGAATGTTTGCACTTTATGTAGGAACTGATGATGATGATTTTTCATTTTACAAGAAGAAATTACATTAAATGATAAAGAAATTTTGGATAAAATATTAATACAATGCCCCAAAGACTAGTATATATATTTATACACACACATATATATTTCTAATAGAATTTATGGCACAATTTATCTGCAAAGTGTGTAGTTTCAATTAACCAAAAAAGAATTATCAGAATATTCACACGTTTCGATAGAATTTCTAATGTTAGAGAATGAAAAATGAGATCTGGAATTGGCAAACTTTTCATTAATCAGCTTTCAGACTGATAAAATTCGGTTTATCTTCTTCTTCTTCTTTCGAGTATATTAAAACACTACGCGATCAGAAACTCAATCACTTATTAGTATTTTATCAAAAGGATTGGGTCCTCTTCGTTTGATAGCTCCGTTATCATCTATATGTATATAAAAAATAAAATAAATTACTGTTTTTTTCTTAATTTATCAAGTGTAAATAATTCACTTACTCCTAATGATACCCGTGCACGTCATCCATTCTTCCATGGTTATTTTATTATTATTATTTATATCGCAGAATCTAGGGAAATTCCTCCAACACTTGCGAAGTTTCCTTAATTTTCTCCTCCTCTTGTTGTTTTTTAAGAAGTTTTTCCATTGGTGGCGAAATTCTAACCACTCTCTTTTATCCAATAACTGTAAAGATAGCATTTTTTTTTTTTTTTTTAATCAGCAGGCCAACCCAAAAGTCCGTTAACCGTATTTAAAAATTAAATTTGTGTCTTATTAAGATATTTTATCACTTAATCGATCCATACAACACTTCAATAGCTTGTTGTAGCCATTTCAAATATGGTGACAGTTAACTGACTTTTAGGCCACCCTGTGTATTATTGTAAAATACTATAAAAAAAAAATGGACGCCACCACTTCCCGGTGTCGCCATCTGATGGCGAGGGACATAAGTATTTCGGGTAATACTTATAAAGGGGGAGTTAAAGAATCAATTGTCTAAAAATAGAAAGTAAAATTTACCTGATTTTGATTATTGTCCAGATAACGAAATTTCCACTTCACTATTTCTTCCACTTTCTTACTAACCGAAATTGAACTTTAAAAATAAATAATAACAATAATAAATTTATTAAACTAACCATAAAAACAAAGAAAAATCGTATTTAAAGACGTTAATTTAGTCTGTTCCCCACTCTCCTTTGAAAGGTAAAAAGGAAAGAATTTTTCAAATGCAAACGTAAGCTGACATTCGGTAATTTTCTAATAATAATAATAATAATTTATAGAAGACAACGAATATTTTACGAGAGCAGATGTGATTCTTCATTATGCAAGAGAGGGGGGAGGAAAGAAAAAAGGGAGAGCGGAGGAGAGAGAGAGAGAGAGAGAGATGAAAGTGGAGAAACCAACCCTCGAGGTATCTAATTACAAGATAACTCGGATGCCATTAAAGTTGATATACTTTCTAAGAAAATATTTCTGCTGATAAGATGAATAGCCATTATGCCAGTGAGCAATATTATAAGTATCCACGCTAAGTTTTGGAATAATAGGTGAGGAAAAAACAATTAATTTCGTACGAAATTCGTCATAGAATAGCTCAAGAAATGCCCATAAAACTCACTCTCAACCCTTAAATATTCGGTTTCCGATGGCTCGAATTGGGCACGGATTATTTGTAAAATTTTTAGGAAAGGTCGGAAGGTCGTTCAACCTTTTAATAACGGAGCAGCGTGTTTAGTCGATGTGTCCGAACTTTAAATGGAGTTGGCAATTAAGACGCAATGGATTAATTCGAAGATTAACTGGCACGAATGTCAACTAAAATGAGAAACGTCTTTCCTCCCGATCGAATTTTTCCAAGGATTTTAATGATGATTTTTTATAACATTATACTATTAATGTTTGTTACTTACTGGCTCTTGATTATTTACGGAGCTGACCCCGTTCGTGTCTAATTTGCGTATGGAAATTATTTTAATTTTCGCTATTAATTACATTTCTGTTAACAGTTCCAATTTTGGAAGTTGCTCGTGTGGCTTATTTATTTTATTATATATTATAGGAAATAATGTTTCTACCATTCTTAAACCCATTTTTGTAATCTAAATTTTTAAGGGAAGAAAATATTTATCTTCAGAAGTATTCATAAAAAATTCATTCATTTTCAGGAGTAACCATAAAATAACATATGTAAACCATCAAAAATACAAATATTCATATAAATATTTTGAATGTACAACTATTGTATATAATATAGCTTAAAATATCCATTGATGTAATGTCAAACCTCCTGAACAGTGGCCACTGATGGAAAAACAAAATAGGCAGTTGTCTGAAGGTTATTTTGTATGTATTTTCCTTTCAAAACCAGAAAAAATTCTTAAAATCTCCACTGTTTAGAGATGGCCCTTGTTGAAAGATGTTCCATTATTAGAAGTTGAAATTTGGAAGACCCTCCTCAATAAATAAGTAAACTTATTTATTTATTAGGGAATGTTTTCCAAAAGTATAACTTTCATTAGGATTTTTTTTAAATTTATGTATACATATATAAAAAATTAACTTAATATTAGAATAATATAAAGTACAGTTCAATTTTAAAAGAATGTATAGCTTTATATAATCTTAAGTTATTACGGCTATAAAAATTTAATATAGCTTCACTTTAATAAATAATCAATTGTATTTTATTATAGAAAATACAATTTTTATTAGTTTTGTTTCATTTTAAAGTATAAGTATATAGAAAAAAGATTGTTTATGTAAATTTCTTAATATTAAAACCGTATTATTTTTTCTTACATATAAATGTATTTGATTTTAATTCATTTAACATTTTTCCATTTGCTTAAGTTTATATTATATAATAAAAAATCTTTTTTCCAATATTATTTTTTTTCATTTTATCATTTTAATCATTGATAAATCCATCCAACCAAGATATAAAGAATAATAGTAGTAGTAAGTCTTCAATATTACTTCTATAAAAAATTTAAAATGCTTGAATAAATTCTTTACAATTATTTAAAAAGAAATGAAAAAACTAATAAGAAGTTTGCTGCACAATAATCAATGTTTAAAAATTCTAGAAATTAGAATATTTATTTTTATTTATATACAACAAGCATCTCTAGTACAGTACAACACAGTTGAATACACAGCAATACATTGCTGTAATGATAATTCTAGTAATTATTATTGAAGAAAAGAGGTTAAATTTATATGAAAATATTAAAATTAATATATAGAAAATTATTTTTTTTTGTTTTATATAGAAATATTGTTTTCAATGTTATGTTCCTGCTTGTTATCTCTGTCCATATTATACTGTATAATCCACATAATAATGCATGTCAAAATATAGATAAAATTGTATAATAAACATCTAAAAATAGGTAATATTATTCAAAGTATGTATAAAAGTAGATAAAGCACCTTAAAGTATAGACAAAAAACTGTAGGAGCCATTAAAATCTGCAGCAATAGTTCGTATAAATGTAAATATTTATTAATTATTTATATTCTGTATGTATTAAATACTTGTCTGTCTGAACAAACAGCATACTTTTAAGAAACTTTTCAAAAAAATAATTAGTTTAGTAAGTTATATATATAGTATTTTAAGCGTGACTGGACTCAATGCGATCTTTCAGATAAACGAGATGGGTTTGTATCATATTTTCTAGTGTCATAAATTTGTTAGATAAGTTAGTGTTTCTTCTGTTGTAAGTTTCAACATTCCCTCTTACAATAAAGATGATAAAAGAGATAATAATAATATATAAAAAAAGAATACTTTGTTGCAACATAAATAGCAATTTTAACTGGAGGATTATGGTTAACAATGGAGAAGGATAAACGAGGGAAGATATGTTAATCAAATGACGAAATTATAAGAGAAAATAATAGCAAGAGTTAAAAAAAAAAGTGTAATTTATTCAGGCAGAAAATAATACGATTTTAATTTTACCTGATAACAGTTTCATTGACTTCTTCTTCGATGGAATTTAGCAATTCTTCCAAGAACGATTGCCTCTTCTGAAGTGAACAACCTAAGGCAACAAAACAGGGTTTCATCTATAAAACAATATAATAACCAGACGCGTCACAGACACAACTCATTATTTAAACCAAGGAATAGTTTCAAGGTCGACAGGATTCGACGACGTTACTCCTACTTAAATTATTATTATATCATACATACGCACAGCTTGGGGAAAATATTTTTCTTAGCGTTCATGCTAGATTTCTATCTCTTATTATTAAAAGAATAGACCCAATTTACTCTATCGAAACTCTCGAATTCGAAAGGAAAAAAAAAACCAAGATAAACACAATGGAATTTTAATTCCGTATCGTGATGAAGTTAGTTATCTTTCTTACCTTTAAATACGTGCGATTTTCTGTTGGCCCTCCTGCAATCTGGTGGTATACCATGCGTGGCGGTTCCTCTAATGGGTTTTCCCGTATTTGGATGAACGCACCAACAATAACCCGCTGATTTATGGCATTGTTCGCGCACGTACAGGCCTTGCTGAGTGCAACTCGGAATGTAAACTTTTCCGTTCGGATCTTGTCTGTGTGTTTCCAGTGCAATTTTCCGTGCCGTCAGGCAATCTTGAATATCTAAAATTAACTTTAATAGCTGTAAAAGATGCGTTGGCACACGTTTTAAACTATTTCGTGAGATTTTTTTTCCTTTCTTTCTTTCTTTACCATTTTCCGCATCGTCCATCTCTCCCGTGTTATCGTCGTTCTTCAGTATTGGTTTCTGCTTTTCTTGTAATTCGTCCGAATCGACTGCTAGATCGTAAACAGGCACCTTTTAATTCTCTTTAACGACACCAGATGGCAGTAAACACAGAAAAAGAATTAGCCGCCATTCATTGGCTTTAGAAATTGTTCCAATGAATGGTACTGTACTTACTTGGCAAGATGTGAACTTGATCTTCTTCTTTTCCAGCCTGTTCCTCTGAATTTAAGGACATAAATAGACGAAAAGAAACTACACTGTCACCAAATTAGTGAGTTCTATAAGATCATATTATCTATTATGTTGATTGCACAATATGTCCCAGCCAGAACGCATGTACAGAAAGATTCGGAATTTTTATTTATTATTTTTTGGTTGTTTTTTGATTTTATAAACAGAATAAAACGGTAATAAAAAAATCAACAAAATAAAACTATTCTCGCATATTTTAATGACCATACTATTTATTTATTACTAAAAAAATGATGCCGAGACTTTTTTCGATTCTTAACTGCACATTGCAAGAATTTGAAATTTCCAATTAGGAAATACACGAATAAAATTAAGCAATATATAAACTCACTATTCATATCTACTCCGAGACAGGCAGACCATTCTTTTCGCGTAATCTTTTTATCTTGATCCAGATCGCAATATTTCGTGAAACTCTTGGCGCAAGAGCGTGGTTTCACTATCTTCTTGGCCATTCTTCGAAGATCCTTGATCTCTCTCCTCCTCAAATTGTCGTCTTGATTCTTATCCAACTCACCAAATTTCCACTGAATAACCCTGTGTATCTCTGTTTCTAGAGGGTTATCTTTAAAAACAAAATAATAATAAAGGCAAAATTTAGTCGGAGTGTTTTTTCTTTTAAAATTAGATCGCATTTTATAGCTATAAGGAAACTAACCCGTTTGCATGGTATGAAAAATCCTCAAATATTCAGATTTAAATAAATTAATTAAATTCGTATTAAATAACGATCTGTCGTTATTGCTACAACCTGTAAAAACGTTTTAATATAATGTATTTAATTATAATTTTAAACCGGGATTAATTAAGTACTATATAAATTGTCAACCCTACGAACTAACCCTTCTTTTTATTAATATGAGAGGATCTACGCCTGTTGTTCCTCTTTCCTGTAAGTAACAAAATGATTTGACTTCAAAAAAAATACGATATAATTACATAACAGACGAGGAATATTTATAAAAAAATGTTTACTGGTTTCACCTGGTTGAGCGCAGTTTGGTCTTTGGTACCTGATGGAGGAACCTGGGATGGGTTTGCCTAAATGATTGACACACCAGCAATAACCTGTGAAGGAATGACATTGGACTTCGGAGTAACTACCGTCCTCTTTGCATTCCGGTATAAACACGCCCTCGACAAACTTTCTCGCTTCGGCTTGTGCCACACTCCTCTGAGCCGTGCATCGAGCCATTTCTGGAGGGGGGAAAAAATAATCAGAAATTTTAAATATTTTTCTCGCCTAAAACGAATAAAACGGTTACGTTCGAGCTTTTACATTAAAATAAAACGAATTTCACTCGTGATTTTCTATTCTGAAAGCTGTCATATTGGGTAATCCATTAAGAGTTGTTGGTTAATTATCATTCATGTTTAACCTGCCTTATGGTATATAAACTCAACCATTTTTACATATAAAAAGTTATTTATAGATGATTAAGTTTTATAAATGCTCATTAAATCATTTAATAGATACGTAGGTATATAAATTGATTATATTAATTAATTAAATAAATAACACAAGTCTAAACAATAGGAATATTTAGAGCATTTATTAATAAAATGTTAGGTGGTATGTATCGATTTTTTTTGGCTCCAAACATCATTAAAGACGACTATTTTTAACCCCAAAATTCGTTAGTAATTGCATACATTTCAGTGTGGGCTAAAGGCCAGTAATCTGTATTACAACCGTTACAAGTGACAAGCACGCAGGCATACCTACATGTTTATTACTGAATTCTTTTTTTTATAGAATAAACCAGCCACTTTTCGAATTTTAACATTCGAATCACGATCAATACGCATACCGTCGAGGTAAAAAAAAGTAAAATAAAATGGCCTGTAGATTTTAGTACATGTATCATTTATGATCAAGATTAATTAAAGACGATGTACATCTCTATTTCGATCGCATGTTAATTTTTTTTTCTTTTCTTTAGGAAGAGTTCATACAACTGTAATTATAACTGTACGTGACAATTCTGCGAGAAGTTACGCCACCGTAACCGATAAGAATATTGTATTTCTGAATTCCACACCATTTTCTCAATGCCGTTTAACGTGTCGGTGGCATTGAGAGAGACGAAATTGCATGCAATTTCACGCGAAATTTCGAAAAGAAAGGAAATTACCCCTCGCACGTTCTGATAATTTTAGTAAACACCCCGTTTTTCACTCGACAATAACTATAAAATGATAATTTGAACTATTCCGAGGGACGTTTTATTGCCAGTTATTTATCAGTTTACAACACGACGTTAAGAATAGTTTTAAGCGAGAGTGGACGTGTTCGAAATAATAATAATAATGCTAGTATTATTTTTTAAAATATTTTTCCTTGAAAAAATATAAAAATTTACAATCCTTCACGACTTTTAATACGGGCCACAATCTGTCACCACGATTTGACCTTGGGCAAGGTTACGTTTTGACCTTTTGTCGTTAATTTCTGAATTCGTTTATGATTTTTGACCGTTCTCCCTCCCCCTCTCACCTGAACACTTTCCGCGATGTTTGAATTCGACAGGATGACCTTCGCACTTTGCTCGATTGATTTCACATTTGGAGTCGTACGTCCGTCCGTCTGTTCCACACACTTGTCTCTGTACATCGCCGCTACAGTCTATCTGACATTCCGCTTTACGATCCGAAGAAAGGAGTGGAAACTGTCGACAAAATAAAACTTGCGATCATTCTATTACTTTTTTAAAAATCATACGTTTAATGTAGTAAATTTATCAATGAAAGAAAAACGAAAGCGGCGCGCGCGCGACGACGTACAGTACTTTCGCTTTCTATAAGCTCGCGCTTGTTCATTCATAAATTTCATTTTCGCCGTATTTTTTTTTAATGAATTAATGTTAATTTCGTACTATATTGATTTTTTTCTTTTTTTTCCTTCTTTAATTCTGTAGGATTTTTGTAACTGCCACACACGAAATCTTCCTCGCTCCTCGACGTTATCAAATCTCGAAGAGAAAATTCACGGAAAACAGGAAGTGTGGCGGAGAATGAGGGATCGATTTCTGTTACCATGGCAACGACCTACAGGAAGGTCAAGCTATAAGCTTACTTCAAGGTCAACAGTTGGGTAATGAACTTGTTCGTGTTGATAATGAGATATTACAAATGTTTCTTT